AAAGGATCATGGGTCCAGTGACTCCAGCTGCAGTAGCCTCCCTAGTACTAGGACAACAGTGGTAGGTGGGCGGGGCTGGCTGAGCTCTATGCAGCCAAGGTAGAAGATCAGTTGGCACAGAGAGGGGGAAACTGGTGCGTGGGGAGTGGTGGCTGGGGGCAGTGTGTGTTGGGGGGGGGGGTAGTCTTGGAGGTAGTTTCTGGGTTAGAAGCCTGGATGCTGATGGGGGAAGTTCTAGGAAGATAGAACTATATAGAGAATTATTCCCGAGCTAGGAAGACAGTCTTTGGCTGCACACATGAGGGGCAATCCTTGATTGGGGGGGGAGGGGAGCCCACATTGGGATGGATTCCTCATCTTTGCAGGCAGGCTTCGCAGTCATGCCCTCTGGGTGCTCAGCCCAACTGTGCCACCAGCAGCAGCACAGAAGGGAGGGTGGCAATATGCCATGCCATCCTTACATGTAAAATATGAACTATTCAAATGGATTTGACAAATGTTGCTAATTTAAGGTGCTTCTGGTAGATATTTCCAGTGTTTAAATGAAACATACTAACTATATTGATTTGAATGGTATTGCTGTCAATATCATAACAAATACTTAAGCTTGTATTTTTTTAGATGTAGAGGTAGAGTGCGTGCGCGTATATATACATATCCTGTGGATGCTTCCCATAATGGTAAATAGGTGACTTATTACCACTATGGGGAACAAATAATTATTCTCACCATAAATCCCGTGTAGGCTGGCTCTAAAGGAGTATGGTCTGGTTCTAAACAAAAAATCCCTAACCTTTCTCTTTACAATACTGAATGCCAATCCCGTGATGTTACCTGATGAAACTTTATACCTCTGCAATACACCTATAGGAGGAGTTTGTACTGGAGTAACTTTAATTACACAAGCACTGTTTTTATTAGTCTAAAACAAGGCCTATTAGTGCATGTAGGTTTTGTCTTTGCTTTTTAAAGGAAATTGAATGCAAAAAATATTAAAATATGTAAGTTAGGTACATATTCATTCAAGTGAGCAAATTCAGAGATGGGGCATTTCAGCCTGCTCTTTTCTTCTACCGCTTGTGTACAAGACCTATCAAGTCTGAGAACACATCATTTACGTTAACTATATTGTGACATAATTCCAGGCTATGAAATGGGTGAGGATATATCAAGAAGTTTTAACTCTAAATATCCTGTATTTTAAAAGTGTGACATAGATGTCTAAGAGGAGCAATGGCCCGAAATTTAAATTTGTAAGAAGTAAGAGAGACCAAGCTCAAGAAATGGCTGTAGATATTTTAAAAATTTCCTTTTTTAAACATATAACAGTTTGGGAGGATTTACAATTCCCCTTCTACAGTATTTTCAACTAAAAAACATATTAGCATCTGTTTAGTACAGGGGGAGCTGTACCGTGACACTAGCTAAAACCAAGAATGCATTTATTTATTTTCATCAAAGCGCAAAACTGGGGAAAATAAAAATAAACATTCAGTGTGAAACATTAATTTCAGAACAAAACCGACTGTTAATCTGTGTCTTTTCTGGGACGTGGTTTTTTAGCATCAGGGAAAGACGAGGGGTATTTTTTTTTTGTTAGTTTAAAACCAGATCTTACTCCCTTCACACCAGCCTTCAGTGGATTCATGGTGAGAACATTTTTTCGTTCCCCGTAGGACGTTCTAATTCCCACGTTTATTCAAGGAAGCTTCAGATCGCGAACATTCCAAACACTCACCTGCTCTGGAACTCGCAACACCTGGACCTACAGCTGCAGCAGAACCCCGGCCGGCCGAGGCCCCTTGGTGACAGCAACCACAGCGAGGCGCGGCAGAGGAGGAAGAGCCAAGGAGGGCAGGCGGGGAAACGGCTCTCTTCACCGGAACAGGAGATCGGAGCAGCAGCAGGGGCGAGGAGGCGGCGGTGCACGGGGCGCAGCACAGCGTGGAGAGGGCCGAACACAGGGACCTAGCAGGGCTTTGATACATAATCCCGCGCTGCCCCCCCAAAAAGCAAGACGAGGGCAGCAAAACCGTCGCTGCCTGTGGAAGGCTGGACGGAGTGGGGGCGGAGTGCGGGGTGAGCTCACCTACTGCCGCCGCGGGCTCCTCCGCTAGCATTAGCTGCTCGGCCAGACAAGCCACACACGTACCCAGGCGGGAGAAGGAGCCGGCGCTGCCCGGGAACAAAGGCCGATCACAGCAGCTTCTCGGTAGCTAGTTCCCGTTATCACGCGCGCCGCCAGCTCCCCACGCGGTGGGCACTCAAAGGGTTTGCACCCAACCAGCCCGGCTCCCAGGGCCTCTGATACATCCGGCAGCTACCAGAGCCCAGCGTAGGGGAGGGGAGCGCTCCGCTCAGACTCCGCTCCACCGAGACCAGCCTGAATTAGGCTCCCTAGGACGCCGCTAGTGTGGCACGCTGTTACCGGCCCACTGGCTGCCTTGTGCTGGGGAAGAGGGAGTTAGTGAGCCTGTCCGAAGCGGGGCAATTTATCAGCCATCCCCTCTGCCGCGTGATGACATGGGCTTGCCCACAAAGGGTTACCGAAACCAGAGCCCGCACTGACATCACACACAAAGAGAAAGCGGATGACTTGGGGAATTAGATGACCCGGGGAGGGATGTAGGGCAAAGGTGGGAGAAGGAGGAGTCCGGGGTGGGACTGCTCCAGCAGACTAGACGGAAAGGAAAAGCAACGCTGTTCCATGCTGGAAATTAGCTGACTTCAAAAATTAAACTGTTAGACGGGCCCTGTTAAAACAAACCTTCTTCCTTGTAAAAAGCTCATGATATCTACGCACCAAGACATTGCGAAAAGAACTGCATAAGGGTTTTTTTTAAAAAAGTCTTGGTAACGTGCTGCTGCCAGGAAGCACTCCAAAGGCTGAAGTACTTCCAGAGATTTTACTGGATGACACTTTATTTTTTCATATGGGGTTTTTTAATGCCACGTATAGTGTTGCCTATATACAGTAATAATAATGAAAATATAACTTTACATCATGTCCAGATGAAAAAGGTTGAGGTTTGTCTCATCTTTCTACTTTTTGGTTAAAGTCAATGTAACTGATAAGAAACCCTTAGCTACCCTTCTCTAAATCTCATTATGCTTACATGACAGAAAAAATTTGCAAGCAAGCAATGGAAATCCCTTCTCCAAAACCTTGTTGCGCTTGATCTAGTCATGGGTGTAACCGTTGCTAAAAGTTGAATGGAAAGCAAAGAGTTGACAGTGAGTCAGGCTCAGTGGTCGTCTAACATCCACAGCGCTGTCTAAAACAGGGAGATGGAAGTTAGAGATCAGGGTCTCTATTCTTAGCTCTATCACTGTCACACTGGGTGAGTCACTTATACATTTGGATGACTAAGTTTAGCCTAAAACAGTGGTCACTAACCAGTAGATCGGGATCTACCGGTAGATTTTGGAGCCTCTGACAGGTGATCCTGACTGGTTTGATCAGGAAGCTATTGAGCATTGGCACTTCAGTTGTCCCTCCACCCACTGTCATGCTGCTGCTGCTCCTGCCCTCTGCCTTGAATTTGCCCCTGTGGGTGCCTCCTGCTTGCTGTGCAGGGTGTGGAAGGGGGAGTGTTCTTCCTTCCCCCACTTCTGTTATCCACACTAGGGATATAAAGGAGTAGTTGACTACCCGATAAGCCTATGCTTCTCAGGTAGTTGTGTCCACTACTCACATTCCTTCCCCCCCCTCCCACCCCGCTGCTTCAGGAGCCAGTGCTAGGGGGAGCGTGCTTTCCAGTTCCCCATAGCACCATCTCTGCAGCACCACCTGTTCCCTCTCCCATCCACAACTGCCTCTATCAGAGGCAGTGGGGGAGGGGATGTTGCCCTGAATTGAAGCAGTCTCTTGTCTGCAGCAACTCAGCCACAGGCAGGAGCTGCTTCACAGGGAGAAAGTCTCTATGGGGCAGGCTGCCCAAGTCCTACTGCCTTTTAAATTGCAGAGCCACAGTGGGGTTTGATCACATACCTGGCCTAAGCCAGAACTGAGCTGGGCTACCTATTGACTAGTTGATAGAATTTTTATCAACTACTCCAGTGGTTTCCAACCTTTGGTCTGTAGACCCTAGTGGTCTGTGATGGTACTGCAGGAGGTCCAGAGAGTTTAAAAATAAGGATCAGGTGCACCAATGTTTTCTTGTGCCTTTTTCTTTTCTTGGCTCCATGATATTTTAATAGATTGAAAAGGGATCCACATGCTCAAAAAGTTTGGGAACCATTCCATTAAATACCCACATTTTAACATCCCTACTCCACACAGAAGGGCTGTGTCTAGACTGGCAAGCTTTTCCACAAAATCAGCTGCTTTTGCGGAAAAACTTGCCAGCTGTCTACACTGGCAGCTTGAATTTCCACAAGAACACTGACTTCCTACTGGAAGAAATCAGTGCTTCTTGCGGAAATACTATGCTGCTCCCATTCGGGCAAAAACCCTCTTGTGCAAATCATTTCTGCACAGTACTGTTTTGCGCAAAATAGCCCCGATGACTAAAATGGCGATCGGGGCTTTTTTGCAGCAAGCGCATCTAGATTGGCACAGACGCTTTTCCACAAAAAATGCTTTTGCGGAAAAGCGTCCGTGCCAATCTAGACATGCTTTTCCACAAATGCTTTTAACAGAAAACTTTTCCATTAAGCATTTGCGGAAAATCATGCCAGTCTAGACATAGCCAAGGGGAAGCAGGGAGCTTGGCAGTACAAATGTCACACACAGAGGCTATGTCTACACTTGTGGCTTCTTGCACGAGTAATATGCAAATGAGGCCAGTCATAGAATATCGCGGAGCCTCATTTGCATACCTAATGAGCCACCTTTTTTTTTTCAGAAGAGGCTCTTGCGCAAGAAGGAGCGTCTACACTGCCCCTTCTTGTGCAAGAAAATCCCTCTTGCACAATGCCGTTACACCTATTACTTGAGAGGAAGAACAGCATTGCGCAAGAGGGTTGCTCTTGCGCAAGAAGGGGCAGTGTAGACGCTTCTTCTTGCGCAAGAGCCTCTTCTGAAAAAAATGGTGGCTCATTAGGTATGCAAATGAAGCTCAGCAATATTCCACGCTTAGCCTCATTTGCATATTAGTCACGCAAGAAGCCATGAGTGTAGAGATAGCCACACTGTCTGTGTGTCACTCTTACAGAGTGTCCTTCACTCATCTCCTGACCCAACACATAGGGGGAAGGGGTGTCACTTTTTACTGCTTGCAAAATGTGTTATTGTTGGTTTTTGACTTGCCTGTGCATTTTGTAATTTTCATTTTTCTCTTGCACTTAAGTTTAATTTGAGAGTGTTCTAAAATGCCTAATCTGTCATGGTTGGAGTAGTTATCCCTTTGGTAATTGCTGCTCCTGGAAATGGCTGGCATGTCCCTGAAGCCCATGAGAAAGGCAGAACAGGGGGCTCAGAGGGTCTCCACCTGCCATTCTTGGCTGCAGCCACCACTCCTGCAGCTGCCATTGATCAATAACAGGGAACCATGGCCAGTAGAAGCTGCGCGCTCAGTGCCTGTAGATGAGGGGCAGCACACTGAGCCATTGCTGTACATGCCAGCTGTTTTCAAGAGTGGTGCAGGGCTAAGGCAGGAGTAAGCCTGCCTTAATGTCATTGCTCCACCACCTGGAAGCAGTCTCAGTTAAATGGTGCCAAGCCACAGCCTGGTTCCTAAATGCCTCTCCCAGCCCTGAACCTCCTCCTACCCCAAATGTGAGTCCCCCTGCACCCAGAGTCCTTCCCAGAGCTTGCACCCTGAAATGGCTGCTGGATCCCAATTCCCCACCCTGGGATAAGCCCAGAGTCCCTCCCACACTCAAAACTCCTTAGCCCAAAGACTAGAACCTGCACCCCAATGCCCTACCCAAGCCTGGGGCAAGTAGGGGAATGGAGCCAGCAGGGTCAAGCTTCAGAGAAGGGGTGGGAAGGAAGTGGGGCAACAGTATTTGGGTTTGAGGTAGATCTTTCATTGCATTAAATTGGAAAACCTGCTTTCAGTGTTAATGAGGCCTAAAATTAAGCATCGACAATCCCAGCTTTACAATGAACTGAGTGTGAGTGGACCCCCACCTGAAAGCTTCACATAGGCATAGATTTTCCTGTATGGAGCCCACTGCAGGCTCTGGATCTAAATGCTTATGTAGACTGTGGATAGTTAACTAGTGGTGTCCTACAAGAGTACATACTAGAATCAATCCTATTCAACCTATTTATAAATGATCCAGGGAAAGGGGTAAATAGTGAAGGCAACAAAATTTGCAGATATTAAACTGTTCAAGACAGTTAAGAACAAAGCAGACTGAAGAGCTTAAAAAGGATCTCTCAACTAGGTGATTGGGCAACAAAATGGTAGATGAATTTTAATGTTGATAATGCAAAATAATGCACATTCCAAAAAATAATCCCAACTAGACATACAAAATGGGGACTAAGTTACCTATAACCACCCGAGAGAGATCTTGGCATCATTGTGACTAGTGCTCTGAAAATATCCACTCAACGTGCAGCAGCAATCAAAAAAGCAAACAATGTTAGGAATCAAAAAAGGGATAGAAAATAAGAACACCTTATTGCCTCTGTATAAATCCATGGTATGTGTACATCTTGAATACTGCAAACAGATATGATCCTCATCTCAAAAGATATTGGCATTGAAATAGGTTCAGAGGAGGACAACAATGATTAGGGGTTTGGAATGGGTCCCATATGAAGAGATTAAAAAGACTTCTAAATTTCCAATTTAGAGAAGAGGAGACTAAGGGAGGGATATGATAGAGGTCTAAAATCATGACCAGCATGGAGAAAGTGAATAAGGAAAAATTTACTTGTTCCCGTAACCCAAGAACTAGGGGGTCACCAAATGAAATAGGTAGCAGGTTTAAAACAAACCAAAAGGAAGTTTTTCTTCATAGTGCACAGTCAACTGGTGGAACTCCTTGCCAGAGGATGTTGTGAAGACCAGGACTTTAACAGCGTCCCCCCCCAAAAAAGAGAACTGGATTAACTCATGGAGGCTAGGTCCAATCAATACTTATAAGATAGAATGATTAGGAATGGTGTCCCTAGCCTCTGTTTGTCAGAGACTGGAAATGGATGACAGAAGAGGGATCACTTGATTCTCTGTTCGGTTCACTCCCTCTGGGGTATCTTGCATTTGGCTACTGTTGGACGACAGTACACTGGGCTAGACAGACCTTTGATCTGACCCAGCGTGGCCGTTCTTATGTTCTTAGCAGTCGGACTATCCTAAATGTAGGTGCTAGATAAAGCTGGTTTTAAAAAAAATGCCAACCAATATTTGACTGTTGAAAGTTTCAGGTTCTTGAATATTTGAAGATTCTTATATAAACAGATACTGTATTTTCCTCTAGAAAGTTTTTCCACCAGAAAATACATTTTCTAAGGAACATTTTTAGCCAATTAGTGCTAGAACTGAGCCTAAAGATGCAGTATAAAATATTTAACAACAAGGCCTCAACCAAATTTATTTTGGTCAGTTTTAGTCCTAGGATTTATACAGCATACATTTAATACTTTCAGCCATTTAAAATACAGTGACGTTTCAGATTCAAGTCCAAGGGCTTTGATTCCAAAAGGAGTTGCGGAAAGGGTTGTGATACTGCTGCCCTTAATTCTGCACTGCTGAAGGCAGCAGCTGAGCACTGGCTTCTGGCTGGGAGCCCAGCTCTGAAGGCAGCACTGCCAGCAGCAACAAAAGAGGTATGATACTACCACCTTTAATTCTGTGCTGCTGCAGGTGGGGCACTGCTTTCAGGGCAAGGTGTCTGGCAAGAGTTGCTACTCTCCAGTTGCCCACCCTACAGAATTATGGGTGGCAGTAACATGCACCCCCTCCCCCAAAAAGAAACCTGAAACATCACTGCAACTCAAAAGCACACAAGAGCACATTTCAGAGGCAGGGGGTGAATATATAACCAGATTTTCTGGTCCACAATGCATTTTTCCC